TTTCGATTTCTGTGAAAGTTAAAGAAAATAAGCCGAAAATTCTGTCTAGTAGAGCGAATCAAGATGAAGTTTTTACCATAAGCGTTTCTCACAAAGATCATCCATTCCTTAATATTCCATTTCAACCGGTCCGTTCTAAGTGAGAAATTATTTCTAAAGAGAAACGTCCTTAATTTAATTTAATTTAATTTTTTAATAGGTGCTGATGTTTTACTTTGTGTTGAAATGATGTCAACCGGTGAAGTTGCTTGTTTTGGTGCAAATCGTGTTGATGCTTATTTAGAAACATTCAGAAATACTAGTTATCGATTACTAAAAAGAAATATTCTTGTTTCAATTGGTTTATATAAAGCTAAACAAGAATTATTAACAGCTATACATATGTTAAAAGAACTTGGTTATGAATTATATGCTAGTATTGGTACAGCTGATTTTTGGGTAGCTAATAATATTCGAATATATCCAATTGGTTGGAAATATGAACAAACAGAAACAAATTTAATTGGATTTGAAAATGGTAATGGTGAATCACTAACATTTGAAAATAATTCACAAACAACAATTGCAGATTATCTTGCTAATCGTTTATTTGATTTGGTTCGTATTGATTTATTATTAATTTAATTTTGCAAAAAAGAAAAACATGATTGTTATACATTTCATAGGTAATTAATATTCCAATGCGTTCAGCTGGTTGATTTCGTGCATCTTCATTTGTTACTCAAGGATATCCATGTTGTCGTTTAGTCGTTTAACTATTGATTATAGTGTTTAGTGTTCCATTAATGACAAATGTTAAATGTGTTAAATTAGTTTTTGAAGCTTTACATCAATCAAGTCAACAACGAACAAATTTTGATATGTCTATCGATTGTATTGGATCTACAATTATTCGATTACTTGGATTAATTGATTGATAAAATACAGATATATATATTTATATTTATATTCTGTTTATAATATTAAATATTTTTTATTAGTTGTGTTCGTTTACGAGAGCTAGGTGATGAACATAAAGAAGATATTGTTAATGGTATAGCTTCAGCATTAGTTGATGAAATTGAAATTTGTTTTTACATAACATAAACAATCATAAAACAAAAAATATATACGTATTTATTTCAGGAGGAATTACAATGATTTTAACAATGCCGAATACAAAATGAGGATTAACAAATACTTCTGTATTAGAAACAATGGAAAAACTTGATGAAAAGAAAGTTTTATGTGATTATGGTTTATACCTATATGGGTGCAAGTATTGATCATACTCAAGTAATAGCTGAAATAGCTCATCGATGTATTGGTCTTAAAATGTATCTTAATACAGCATTTGGCAATTTAAAATTAGATAATATGGAATCATAAATGAAACGTAAGCAAAAAGCTCTTAAATATAATTTTGATGATTATCATTATATAAAAGATTTATGATGGGATTTAAATAAACAAATTTTATCAATACGTATGCAGATTAATAGTTCTATTCAAGTTCAAGACCAATTATAGCTAAATTAAATGGTAAAATGAATGAAACATCTATAAGAAAAATACATGCTACATATAGAATAAATGAATCATTAAAATTTTGAAATAAAATAAATGTCTTTTTTGTTTTTATTTAAAAAAATAAAAACAATAAAACAAAAAACTGATATATATGTATATCAAATCTTTGTAATAATTCTAAAAATAAAATAATAAATAATAAATAAAATAAACGAATTTTATTTTCTTACTTAACGTCTTTGTTTTCTCGATTAATAACCTTTTTGACATAATTCAAATGTTCTTTTTTATAAACGAGAAGACTTTGTCGATTTATTACAATTTCTTTCACACCTTTGATCGATACTGCACATCTGATATGATATGTCTAAAACACGGCTTTAAATCGTAATAAAAAAAAATTATTTTACTTACTTTATCTTTTGTATCTTCTTTAACCAACACTGCATAATCGCTTCCTCGAAGCGCATGGTCACAGCAGTCTGCGTCTAATAATTTTTCCATTTGTTTGAGTGTACCTGCGATAGAAGGGTGTGGGTGTGAGGGCGTGAGTGTGTGGGTGTGGGTGTGTGGGTGTGGGTGTATGGGTGTGGGTGTGAGGGTGTGTGGGTGTGGGCGTGGGTGTGTGGGTGTGGGAGTAGGTGTGGGTGTGGGTGTGGGAGTGGGTGTGGGTGTGCATGTAGATGTGGGTGTGGGTGTAGATGTGGGTGATGGTGTGCCCAGTCAGGCAAGCACTTAAAAAAAACGCGTTAATACGCGTAAAAATTTCGTTAAAACGGCGTTTTTATGTCAGAGCACCGTTAAAACGGCGTATTAAAGAATTTCTCAAGCGTGTTAACGCGTTAACGATAAATTACGCGTTAAAAAGTGTTAATTACTTTTTTAACTTGCGCGTTAATACGCGTTAATTTCTTTTGATTTACTTGTTTTTACGTGAGTTTTTGTCAGTTTCTACTGGTTTTATAAAAGATATTCTAAAGCTGTTTCTTCTCGATTAATTTGAGCTCAGTATAGTGAGTAATTCGAATTTGGATAGAAAGCATCGTCTGAAATCGTTTTTAGCCAGCGTCTAAAGTCGTAATAACGCTGTTGCTGGTACCCGTGAGAACTGCACTATCGGTGACAGTGTGAACAAACGTGTGACATGGATATTCATTGTTTTAATCTGTAATAGTTTATTTAATTACACGGAATAGACCAAAGCCAATTTATCTACCTATTCCATCATTGCCTGCACTGAAGCAGCCTTTGTTTATCTAACGCTAGGAATCAACCTTTTCATGCCCTGTATCTATCCATTCTATCGACGCTATTGTTGTCACATCACAGCATCGCGAAAAAATGTTTTAAGTAGATAGAAGATAATTTTCCTGATCGAACCGTGGATGAGTATGTTAAAATTTACATCAATTCGCTTTTTTCTGTACAGTCCGTGATCCAATAATAAAGAGTGTGATAATTTTGACTTTGGTGAAACTCAGAATGATGAGATGAAACTTTCACAAAAAATCAATTTAATTTTTCTTACTTCAAATATCTTTGATTTAGTTTATGATGAGAGATGGTTATGGAGATATGAGTAAAATTCTGTTGTAGATCGCACTAGTTTTGAAGATATTTCGAAAACTTCATTGCATAAGAAATCGATTGAATCTTTATTAGAATCAGAAAAAATAGATTGATTTTCTATGAAATTTTCATCCAATCTTTTTAGTTACATCACACTCAAAAAATTTCGTCATTTTTCAAATCTGATCATATACACTAGTATAGTTCTTATTAATTCTTTTTTTTTGTTTTTGCATTATTTCTGTCAAGTGTCCTATAGATCATAGAATGTTACCTATCATTTATCTATTCATCTATTCATAGTACAATAGTTTGATTTTCCTATTTTCTCATAGTAAAAATTTTTTTTTTCCTTTTAAGTTTTTCGTTTCTACTGATGCCTATAGTATTATATAGTTTTTTGT